TGTGGGGCCTGCTTAGGGCACGATGAGGTGAGCAGGGCAAGAGCCTCGTGGTTACAGGACTCACCAATGTGTCTGCCCATATGAGCTATGTCTGTGTCCTAGCATGTGGCCTGGAGCAGTAGCCAAATGTTCTAGAGCTCATAAATGCTGTGTGTCTTGGGATTTCTGGATCATTGCAAACAGAGGCACCTCTCTGGTAGAAATATACTTAAACCGGAGTGGGAACCAATTCCCAAACTTTGTAGGTGGCCGAATACTAGAATGAAACTGGGAAGCATCATCCATTTCTGTGGCTTGGACCTCGCAAGGGAAGAATCCTCTCTGCTGCCTCGGGGATAGCGACTGCATTAGCTCTTCTGCATTTTCTATTTTAGTGCTGCAGTATGTAAATATTTTTGTGGTGTTTTGAAAAGAAGCTATGGCTGTGGGACAGGCTAAGACTGGTGCCTGCTGAGTGTCTGCCTTATCGCTGGCGTGTGAGCTGATGTGTTTAGTGAAATGTGAAGAAGACAACTGGAGGATAGGCTAGTAACCGGAACGGTTGTGTCTCTGGGGTTGCATTCCTGAGCTGATAAGGCAGGGTCAGCAGGGGTCTGTGTCTGCAGACAGTGGGAGCGAGCAGGGCAGGTGGTTCAGAGAGGAAAACGTTGGGTGTTGGTGATCACCTATCTCAGATATACATAAACTTGTCCTAGGGGATACGTGGGTTGCTAAACTTGAGGTGTTTAAATCGTTAGACCTGTGTCCTCGTGAAGGAGAGCTCCCTAAATGATGTCACCGTTGGCTCTTTGGGCTGGCGTAGACACGTGGCGCTACTAAATCCCCTCCCGGGGGGAGTGCTCCAAGACGGTGCCATCACGCAAGTGATATCAATAACACAAATTGTGATTTCCGAAGGTTCTGAGTGAAGGTTTTGGGTTCCAAAAATCTCTGTGTTTTGCCTGGGTCCCCATTCAGTTGCTGCTTCCACGTATTGTTTTCCTGTTGCAATGGGCAAGGTCTTTCTGTTTTAAAAACAAACGTTTCACCTAAACTCCCTGTTCCTCCCTGCATGGCTTTGCAGCCTGAAGTCTGACCTGCATTTTCAGTGATAAATGGTAACTTTAGCCATACAGAGTGGAAGCATTACTGCAAAAATGAAGCAGGAAGAGGCCGTGTGGGGAGATGGTGTGCTAAAACTGGCTTGGTCACCAGCCAGTGTTGGCGTGAGGCAGAAGAAAGTTCAGGGGTGCTTTAACAGAGGGCTTTGGAATGGTCACGGTACCAGTTTTGCTCATCTCATCTCTAGGTCGAAACCTCTTGTAGCAGGCAGGGTGTAGCTGGGTTGTCCCTGATTGTCCTGCTGTTAACTGTGCATCTCTTCCAGGTCTCTCTGCTTCCCTGAGGCCTGGTTCTGCACCGACCCATGTCTTTCTGCTGAAAGTTGTTGCAGGCCAGTGTGAAACGGCTGGGATCAGCACCGGGAGGTGAGATGACACAACCTGGGGTTGTATTGGATAGAAATGGGCTGGGAATGACCTCCTGGGTCACTCGAGGTTGGTCTCATGCTATCACAGGAAACCATAGCCTGAGGTCCCCTTCATAAGCTTAGCGTGCTTGACCTTAGCTTCCCGTTTCACCTCTTCTATAACTTTTTTAAGGCCCTTCCAGAGCTTTTTTTTCTCTAACGGCTAAACTCCTTAATATCTAAGTCTAAACATATTTGTGGATAGCTTATGCTTCTCGCTGATGCAGTTTCTCCAGGATTTGCTTCCCGGTGATGTTACTTATAAAATGTAGCCATCACTCTGTGCTTGCCTTGGCTTTGCTAAACACATGTGGAAAGTTCTTCTTCTCATCTCCCTGTCTCACACTGGCAGCAACTGCCATGGAGATGCTGTTGTTCCAGCCACAGCGGTGGCACAAGAATAGGAGCTCTGCTGGCAGCAGCATTTTGGGGTGTTATAAGCTCTCTTTGCACCGTTTCCCAGTATTGCTTTACCACAAGGATTTTTCCAGCCTGGATCAAGCCTCTACATGCTGTAGCCCAAACAAGCGACTGCAAAAAGGACCTCATTATACTGCTCCTTGGACTGTAACCCCCTGTTCTGAGCTCAGCAAAATGTTCTGTGCTGTGTTTTCATCTCCTGCGCTCTTAGCGGTATCACTTAATGCACAGATAAATAATAAATTCCATGCCCTGATTTTTGACACAAAATCCAGCTCCTTATGCGTCGCCTTCGTGTTTTCAGTTCTTGTCTGCACTGCCTGGTGGAGGTCGAGGGGGTGCTGGGTGCCGTGACAGCCGGCTGTGGAACACATGGGACGTGTTTGGCGCCCGGGAAGGCGCCCTGGCACTGACACGCTCGCCTGGATTCTGGCAAAAGCTCCTGTTACTTGAGCAGTGCTGATATTTCAGCACTTGTCTTTGTTTCAGAGAGCTGTCGAGATGGTTTAGACGGGGCTACTGTTTCAAGTGGGGATTGAGGCCGCGTTTTTAATGGTTTTGCAGCTGGTAGAATTGGGAAGACAAAACCATGACTTTCCAAGAGACCACAGGCCACGTTTCTGCGAAAAATAGGTAGATTGGGGATGACTCAGTAGTGCAGAATCTCTACAGACCTGATTTTGGCCTCTGAGGGATGGATTTTTGCTTCAGAGAGTATATTTATATTTCAGGAAAGCTAGTGGATGACAACAAATTTCCGAGAAGATCCTTCAGCCAACACTTGAGGTGCTGAAGATGAAGCGCCGGCTCCATCACCAACCTAACACGGTCACGTCAAGCTAAGCCCAGGCTCCAGACCGGACTTCTGCTGTGAAACATGGGTGTCCAGCCGTCCTGATGGGGACCAATATCCATTGCTTTTGACCTGCTTTTGTGTTTCAAACAAGCCATGTGCCCAGTTAGTCAACAAAAAGTTCTTGTTTTTGGAGAATAACTCATGGTTGGGGGCTTTTTTTTCCTCCACAGAGCTTCTTTTTCTGAAAATTCTTTTGTTTTAAATCACAGCCAAAAATGCCAACGTTTCTACGGGGCCTATGGAGTCAAAATGGTGCAAACGGAAGCAAAGCTGACAGCTGCGGCGTCGATGTGATAATGCCACAAAGTTCATTTCTAAGTACTTCGGAATGAATTCAGTATTTTACTTAAACTTTATTTAAAATCCTCTCCTTTTTTTCTGAACACCTTGGAATGAAATGGGCAGGTTTCTGCAAAGCTCTTCTGTTTTGGACAAACTTTTCTATCATCAAACTTGCTACAGTTTTTTAATTGGACTCCTCCTAGTTTGAGGGAACCTGAAAGCTGCAGCAGCAGCACATCTTGTTTAGCCCCGTGTTTTAGCTCTCGTTGTTAATCCCTCCTGTCATTTTGAACTTCTAGTCCTGACCCCCTGTCCAAGTGCAATATCCACCCTCTGGATTGCAGCATTCCCGCCCGCGGCTGCTGCACGGAAAGGCCCGGCCAAGGCTGACTCTGCAAGAGCTATCATGAGCGTCCATCTCCATCAGAAGTTAAAGCCTTCCTGGTGCATCCCAAACTTTCTCTTACATCAAGCAACCTCATCTAGAAACCCTTCTCCTACCTTTGTCCCAAGGGATCCACCTTGAGCAAAGACCTCGCAAAGACCCAACACAACCGCCCGGAGCCTCCTTAAGAGAGGAGAAGGGGGAGGAGAAAACCGGCTGGAGCAACCCCACCTCCCAGTTATTTCATTTTCCTTACAAGGCTAAAGCTCAACGCTGTCCTCTGCCTGCCTGGGTTCCTTAAAAGCAGCAGAGCAAACCCGAGGATCCTGGCTGGGCGCAAGGCGGGATGCGGAGGCCGGCGGGGATGGAGAAGGAGGTGCCGGCACTGGCGTGAGCCCTGGGCACTGCGGAGCGGCCAGGGCTGGTGCTCTGCGGAGGTTCTACATCCTGAAGCAGGCGCTCACTCTGCAGACCTTCCAAAGCGGTATGAAAGCGACCCCAGGAAGTCACTGACAGGGAGGAAAACTGCAGCCTGAGAGGTAACTATATTTCTCACTGGGAACAGATTAAATTACATGGCTGTGATTTAGTTTAAGACTGATTGTAAGTGAATGACTGAAGCTGAGGAGTGAAAAATAAATTCACTTCCATCTGGGTGCAGGATTTGATCTCACTGCAAAAGCTGTACTGGCTTAAAAAGCCAGCACATTTATTCGGGTGCGGGAAGAATTTTGGGTTGTCACTTTGGGCATTCACACCTGAAAACTTTTTTTTTTTTTTTTTTTTTTTTTTTTTTTTTTTTTTAGAAGCAGCCTTTTGGTTTTCCTCTGCTGTTGCTAAAGGATTTGGAGATGTAAAACCCAAGCTGCAGAATCAAAATCTAGAGCAGGTTTACAACAAAGAGCAGTCATTCTGTCTGAAGCTTAGTGCTAGCGAGGCATTTAAAACACTCCTGTGTTCGAGGTCTCGCAGTATTTTAGTGCCATTTCCTCAGAAGGATTCATGACCTACTGAGCTGGAATGTCTGTCTGCATCTGGTTGGGGTGATTACTGCTGGAATTTGGGATTTTTTTTTTCTTGCCTAGTTTAATTTGAAACAAGCTGAGGTTGTCTAACACATTCTGGGAATCATTTCCACTCTAGTCTCACTGAAGCGCAATTGCAGGACTCGCAGCTGAAGCAGAGAAGTGAAAACATCTTGGTAGTTCAAAACTGTGGGCCAAGCTGTCCCTGAAAATACAAGGAGCTGAAAGATGGGAAAATTTGGCCCCTGGTCTGTAAGATGCCCCGAGAGAGATGTTGAGCAAACATGATGCCACTTTTCTTAGCGTTGCTGTAAGGTGCGACACCTGAGCCTCTGCGTTGCATCGTTGTAGCCCTTAACTTTGTAACCTGAGTAACAGATGCTGTTATTCACTAGGTAGAATGACCTCCTGGCCTTTGGTGAGCAGCTGCAGGAAGCCGTGACACATCAAGAGGGCCGAGGATCCCGGGACGGCACCTGCAGGGTTCCCCTAGCGCTGGGGCCGCCGTGCGCCGAGCTGCTCGGCGGCCAAGCATGGAAGTGCTGCGCCGCTCCTCGGTCTTCGCTGCAGAAGTGATGGAGGTTTTTGACCGCTCTCCCACCGATAAGGAGCTGGTGTCCCAGGCCAAGGCTCTCTGCAGGGACTACATAAACTCCCGGCTGATCCGAGCGGGTGTCAGCTGGAGCAAACCCGAGTACAACGCGCCGGTGCCTGGTGGCAAGCTGGCCGAGGTGTCCGCCATCCTGCTGCGACTAGGTGAGTGCCCGTGGAGCGAGCACGAGCGTGAGGCCCATTGGGAGCAGCCAGCAAGCTAAGTTCTGCTTGGACTGTGTAAGAGCTGTAGTTCATGCAGTAGCTTTTGGAGCTGGGTGTTTGAATGGATCTTGCTGTGTTTTCTCCGGACACGTGTCACTAAGCTGTTGTGACACAGCCCAGCCTGGTGTCTATTAGAGTTCTCCGGACTCTCCTTTTGGGCTTCATCAGCTGCTCACCTAGATAGTTGCTTGCAGTAATGTTTAATTTGGAGGTAGCTGCTTAGACCGTGAGTACCAGAAGTTTTGTAAAAGCTGTTTTCCAGTAAGTGCCATGTATCTAATCTGCCCTTGCCTGCCTGAGTCATTCAGCAAGAGAGGAGTTTTGCTTTCTGTCACTGTGGCAGCTGTTAGATCTTCTGTGCTTGGGGCAGCCGCACAGCATGGCCCATCTTTCGTACAGGGGCCTCTGCATAAAGGTAACATCACCTACACGTTCCTGTGCAGGAAGAAAAGGATGCCCATGGAGGCACGAGCAGGAGAGGCTGGGCAGGGACTTGTTCAGCCCCGATACCCAAATAACACATGCCTGGAAGGCTGCCTAGGTGCTGACACTTGCCTGGATTTTTTGCTTGTCTTAACTTCCCCTGTACTCAAGCCGCTTGTCTTTTGCGATCCCTTCGCTCCTGGAGGCTGCTTCCAACATCCTTCTTTGCCTGCAGGCTGGAATATTAGTTCATGTCTGGCTTGGAAACTGCAATTAATATTTGCATCCAGTTTAATTACATTACAAGTAAGTCTGCGGAAGCAGTGTTCAGCTGGGCCTAACCAGCTCAGGACCAGGATGGCTTTCCCACTTTATCCTCTTTCTTTCTGCTTCTCTGAGATGTTGCCCCAAATTTCTTTTTTTAAGGCATTGCTTTTCTTAATTTTGACTGACTTCTCATTCTTCTCCCCTTTTTCTCCCATGTTCTGATCTTTTTTTATGGGTGTTTTTTTTTCTTTCTCTTTTCTATTTTGATATCCCACTTTTTTGGGCTTTGTTTTTTGTTCTTCTGTCAATCTCCACACTGTCTCTTTCGCCCTCCCTTTCTTTTCTACCTGGCTTGGGGGCTGAGATTTGGTTGCCTTCAAGCAGATCTTCAGTGGGTGGCCAGGAGTGTGGGAAAGGGCAAGCAGGTGGCAGCCCAGATCTGAAGGCGTCTTCTGGATGACTCTCCTGCTACTTATTCATGTCCAGATGGAAAGATTTGGCTGATAGTCCCCATCTCTTGGCTCTTCTCTGAGCAAATCTGGAGACAACCATGGTACCCATGCAACAAGAACGGGGAACAGCCCTTCCAATGAGAACAAGGAGTTATTTCCATCCCAGTTGTTCATAAGCACCCCCTGCCACATGGCTTGTTCCTTCTTCTTCCCTGTCATGTCCATAGGCAATGCCCAGCAATGTGGTATCTGTTGTCCTTTGCTCCTTGTCATGTAGTGCAAGGAGTCAAACCCCGTGAAGGTTCTGAGAACCCTATGGAGGTGAGAAGTTGAGGGTGGTCTCAAAGGGCTGCTGGGCTCAAGAAATGCAGTTGTGAGGCCTGAGGGAGTGGGAGCCAGGAAGGCTGTGCCCAAATTAGTGGAATTAGGTAGTTGGAGAGGCAAAACCCTTTGGTTTGGCCAAATGAGATGCCTCAGACCAGCCCGTCCTGTGTGTCCTGGGTCTGTTTTATCTGAACTTGGTGGGAGAAGGAGGAGAAACGCACAAATAGCTCTGAATGTTGCAATGTGTTCAGTGAGACAGGGGGGATACCACCATGTGCTGCTCCAGAGGTCCTGGAGACCTCCCTGGCAGGGAACCTGAGTAATCCTGGTGCTTCTTTGCCCTGTTTTTCCTTCCCCCTCTATTCTTCTCTGTGTTCATGCCTGCAGGACAGGGCCTGCTCTGCTGGCACAGGTGCTCCCAACCAAACGCGGGCCCAGATCTTGCCTGAAGCCTCTGGGCACTGCTTGTTACAAGCTGCAGCAGTGGCAGGGGACCAGGTGCTGATGACGGTGCCCTCCTCCTTCCCACCCATTATTTTTGGTGAGAAGAGCTGTTGAAGAGTATGATATAGTCCCTCTTATTGGGACTGCCCATGCATCTGCTGGGTTTCTGCTTGAAATTGTGGGAAAATCCTGCACGTACAGCTGGCCAGCACTTGTTATTTGGGGAATCCTAGAGTGGTTTTCGTAAGGTTCAGTGGTTAGTGATTCAGTAACACACTCCTCATTTGGATGCCTTCCTCCTTTCTGTTGCCCACCTAAGAGATGACGTGACATTTTCAGGAGGATCAAGTCATCTGGGTCTTGTGGTGGGATCTGAAGATGTTCTTTGAGCTCTCCTCTTCCCCTGTGCACCCCGGAGCACATGTGTGTGGTAGAAGGACTGCAAGGAGCTCCCATCTCAACGACCAAATGGAGAGCTCCATGCCCAAAGAGCCATTTCCATGTGGTGGGAATTCTGCAGTGTTCCTACAGCACTAATCCCAGTTATTTTAGGCCTGTTTTTTTAAGGATACATAATATGGACATGCAGGTGTGTTGTAGGCATGGTAACTTTGAATCTGTTTTAGCCTAAGTGACAGGAGTGAAGATCCTCCACTGAAAATAAGGATGTGATAAAGGAGAGGGACCTTATTCATGTTCCTAACAGAGGAAAATCTCCGGCGTGTGCATGGCCCACAAAAAATACCTGCAAATCCTTGTGAGGAGTCTCGCTAGAGAAACAAATCCATCAAAAAGCAGGTTTCAACAACTTCCTTCAAAATGAAAATAATGGTTTGTTTTGCTGCGATGGGAAAGCTCTGCTGCTGGTTCCCAAGCTGCAGAGCCCAAGTCTGGAGTGGCAGGGGGTTCTCTTCCTGTACTTGGTATTTCCATCTTGGTCTTCAAGCTAACTGGACACCTCCAACCATTTCCAATGGGGAACTTTGTTGCTGAGGCATGAGCCAGGCAAATGAACGTTCTATTAACCATTCGGAACTCCTGGTCTTCACTCAGTGCCCATTTTGGTGTAAAGTAGCTTAAAAACCTTTTTTCCATCAATACCATGCAGCTCTGGATGGGCTCTTGTCTTTCATCAGGCTGCAGGATGCTCAAGACTCACATCTGAGGGCTTTTTTTTGGAGAAATCTTGGTGTTTTGAGCAGCCTAATGTCCCCGAAGCGTGCAGAGAGGCACGTGCACTCCACCTCCGATGACCAAACCGAGGTGACCCTCCCCATCGTGGGCTGGTCTCCTGTGGTGGAGGAAAGGCAAGTGCAGGTCCCCGTCCCATCCCACCGCGCTTAAGAAGACCGAGGGCAGGAGGTCTGTTAGGAAAGGAGAGCGGGTGATCTGTATGTGGAGCTGGGAATAAATCTCCAGCCGGAGGGGCACGTGGGGCGCGATCCCCACGTGGCTGGAGCAGAGCCTGGTGTTCTCGGCGCTGACTGCGAGCTGTTCTGTTCCTAGGGGATGAGCTGGAGTACATCCGCCCCAACGTGTACCGGAACATCGCCCGCCAGCTGAACATCTCGCTGCACTCGGAGACGGTGGTGACGGACGCCTTTCTGGCCGTAGCCGCGCAGATCTTCACCGCAGGTACCGTGCCCCGACGGAGACACAGGTGGGGCCGGGTGGACAAGGACACCATGGGGCCCAATCTCCCGGAGACGTCATGTTTGTGGGATCGCCTGCAAGGTGGGGCCTCGTCTCTGCCAGAGCTCCGGGCAGTTTGGCAGCCTGCCTGGCTTTAATGATTTAATGAGAGCTCTGGGATGCTCTGTTGTTCTGGCAGGGAAATGCCCCATTTTATAGATCCTCCTGGCAGCTTCTCGATCGTTCTAGAAGGCACCTCCCACCCTTCCTCATTAGAAGCTGGTGTTACCCCGTTGAATGGGGAGGTCGCTCATTCCAAGCGCCTTTGCTCACCGCTGGCAACGGGAGGAGAGTCATTACATGGGAGTCTCCCTTATCCCAGCTCACGTTGCATGCTCTTGGAGCCAGAACTAACTCATCGCAAGGGAGTTCCCCTCTTCTGGCTTCCTTCCCCCAGCAGGAGCCAGACCTGCAATGGAGCCTCCTTCTCGCAGCTGTTCTGGGCCTTTCTCGCAAGCAGAAAGGCGGCAGCTTCGGCTTTCCGGGGTGGTGGCTGCCAAACAAGCAGGTGCTTTGAGCTTTCTCACCGCTCAGACACGATCATGCTGCTGCTTGGCCAGTCCCAGTGCTAATTGACAAAAGCAGAATTCCCCATGCTACAGTCGTGCAGGGGAATTTCTGTCCCAGCCTCGGTCCCTCTGCCCGTGACTGATCTCCTGATCGCTGCAGGAGAAAGGAGATTTCGTGTTGAGGTGACTCATGGCTTTGGGTAAGGCAGGTCCTGGCATAACCGTGGGTTTTCTACCAAGTCTTGTTGTGTTGCCTGTGGAAAGAACAATCTCCCTGAGAGGGACTGCCTGGGCTCCCGGGAAGGTCTCTTGAGGCAGATTCATTCCTTTGGATTCATGGAAATCCAAGGCACGTCATAAAAAAACGAATGGCTCCGTGGCGAGCGCTGCAGCCCGCGGCGTCCTTCCCAGCTATGCCTGGAATGCAGAGACGGCTGCGCCGGGCCGGCTGGGGACGCCACACGGGCTCGGAAAGCCAAAGCTGGACAAATATGACCAGAATGTCTGCGTGTGGTGGCAGTTGGCCACAGGTGCCCTGTCTTGTCCCGCCGGTAACGGGCTCTGCTCTCTCCAGGGCTCACCAAAAGCAGCGGTCGAGCTTGCGGGCTCGTGTATTTGCTGTCCAAATGAGTAGGTTTTGCTCCAAGGGGAGCGTCAGTGACTGGGGTCACCTCGGTTATCGGCACCATCTCTCTTTTTTGCAGACGCTCAGCTGCATGAATTGCTGGCAGGTGGTTTCCAAGCCTTCCCTGTGCTCTGTGAGCAACATTTGCTCCTCTTTTGCCCATTGAGAGCAACGAGCAGGATGGCCCCTGCATGCACAGAGCTGCAGTTATGGATTCAATCACTTGCTTGTATCAATTCATCACCCTCCCCTGCCAGAAGTGGGATGAGAGGCAGAGGGGAAAAGTTTGCTGATTTTTAACATTCCAGGATGCCGGCTGCAGTCTTGAGATTCAGCATTTAATGCTAGACTCTGCAAATCAAGAGCTGCCTGTGGCAGCCAGACATTTATTTATTTATTTATTTATTTTCCTAGCTCGGAGGAAGGAGGTGCCTATTCAGCAAAGGAAACCAGGGAGCACAAATGCAATCTGAAAGTTTTTCAAGCCAATTACTGATGGTTCAAGCAGTTGAGCCTGTTTTTAACAGCCTGGCTTATTAAGAAAACAGCTGCAAACAACAACAAAAAGTCTGACTTTCCGGGCACCTAGACAGCCCGGGGTCCTGCTTTGGTCCCTCACAAGGCCTATCCACCAAGGCGGTGGGATATTTTGGCCTTATCTTGCCGGAGAATTTTTCACCTTAGCCTTTTCTCCTTTCCTCTAACAGTCGTCCTGGTTCCCTGTTTTGCTGCAAGGGGGAAACGTTGTGTTAGATCCAGTGGAGGTCAGCAAGGACCGTGGGTTTTGAGTCCAAAGCTGCTCTGGAGCCAGCAGACTTTCCACCGGCTTCAGCAGGCTTGGGAGCAGAGCCTTTGCTTTGGCTGTTTAAATAAGCTCCAGAGGGAAAGTTCTCCCTTGGTGGGAGAACAGAAGGGGAAAAGGCAGACCTGCTGTTGTCCAAAAGGGATTTCCCTCTTGTTTTTTTCATCTCATGGGCCCTGGTAGGTTTTTAATCAAGGATACTCGGGCTGCTTGGAGCCCTACACAGCAAGGTGCAGGATTGTGTGGTTACTGGCTTGTCAGGAGGAATACTTTCCCTTGCAGCAGCAAATGCTGTTAGAAACACGTCTCGCTGCCACCTCATCTTTCTGGCCGCCTGAGCGCGGATCCTGCCTCGCGTCGCTTGTGCCTGGCTGCCTTCCCCCCGCTGGCAGGGACACGTGGCACTCGATGGCGTTTCTCCCAGGTCCGATTTGCAAGTCTGGCTTTGCTGCCAAGCGAGGCAGGGGCAGGTTTATTTGGATAACCTCGGGGAGCGGGCGCCGTGCGTGCGATGGGAGAGCCCGCGCGGCCGGGTGCTCCCGACACCGCCGCCGGGCCAGGCGGGCTGCCTCGCAGCGAGAACGCTTTCAACAACAGGCCTTTCTTGCTAATTCATTTTCTCCTGGTCTCGCCAGTGTTTACATACCTCTGGCTCCACGGCCAGCCTTGAGTCTGCGACTTTGATTTTTTATTTTCTCTAACCTCCTTCCAAGCGACTTTTCACATTTTCTGCGTCCTTTGGAGCTGATGCTCTTGTTCCATCTCTGCAGACAGGAGCTTTCAGGACTTTCTCTGGTTTAATTGCTTCTTTCGGGACTGGTTTTATGTTCCCCTCTGTATTTAGCTGCCTGCCAGTCTGCACAGTGGGAATCCATGCCTGGATCATCTTTCTCCATTGCACATAGTGCTGAGTGCCCTTGTCTCGCCAAGCCAGATGTTTTGAGGAGTTGGGAGCACGACAAGGCATTTTCTTGGCTTGTACATCGTGACCAGAAGCAATTGCAACTCCTGCCGAGGGATGCGTCGAGCTGGTGTCACTGTGACATTGGCCTGAGTGTTAGCGAGGAGCAGAGGCAGATTTTGCCTTGCAAGCACACTGTGTGCCTCTACCCTTAGCAAGAGGATTATTAAGAGGAATTATAGAATCATAGAATGCTTAAGGTTGGAAGGGACCTCTAGGGATCATCTAGTCCAACCCCCTGCACACGCAGGGTCACCTAGAGCACGTGGCACAGGACTGCGTCCAAGCGGGTTTGAAGATCTCCAGAGAAGGAGACTCCACAACCTCTCTGGACAGCCTGTTCCAGTGCTCTGTCACTCTCACTGTTAAGAAATTTTGCCTTAAGTTCCTGTGGACCTTTTGGTGTTTCAGTTTGTGGCCATTACCTCTAGTTCTGTCGGATCTCCTGAAGAGAGGCAAATAAAGGGCATGTGTTCTGGGAAAGGGCACGTTAGAGGCTGCTGTGGTCTCTTCTCCAGCACTGTGCCTGCCTGGGCTGCTGAGCCCCACAGACAGACAGACAGGCCACAGGCCCCATGCTTGGTCTGCAGCAGCTGCTGGAGATACCGTCTGCTTTTCCCCATTTGAGCGTTCTCCTGCAGCAGCTTGACCGAGCAAGAGCCCAGGATGTGTCCTGTCAGGTCAGATCAGGAGCCCAGTGGCTCAAACCACCCAGCTCTGTCTTCCATCTCCAGCAGTGCCAGTAGCAGGTGTAATGTAAAGAAATCATAGAAAGGGCAAGTTTTCCTTTCCCCTTACCCAAGTGGCTCAGCTTTTCCAGTAACAGAAAAAAAAAAAAAAAAAGGCAGATGTAAAGATGAGCTTGACCGCTTGACCTGCATCCGATGGTCTGCAGCGAGGAGGAAAATGGGAAGTGATTGCTGAATATCACGTTCTTTACCAGCAATGTGGGCTTTCTCCGTGGTCTGTGTGAAATGGAGAGGGGCTGAGTGTTTGTCAGAGCAAACCTGTTTGTTCTGTGTTAAGGAAATCGCAGAGGGTTGAGTTTGGAAGGAATCTCTGGAGATTAACTAGCCCGGCTGTGCTCCTGAGGCAGGAAGTCAGGGATCTGTTGAGCCTTTTACCTTCCAAAGGTTGTGGATTGACTTTCCTTCTCTTGGAAGGCGGAACTTGGGTTTAAAACCAAGTTGATCAAGGCAGCAGTCTTCCCTGCCCAGGTGGCCTCAGCCACTGCCATGTGGATATCTCAAAGGTGGTGGACTTGCCTCTGGTGTGCAAGAGCAGGGTCAGTAAATGCTTGGGAACAGGTTAATTCTTGCAGAATGTCTTAGATGACTTTGGGCCACGTATGCAACCCAAAAGAAACTAAATGCAAGGAGACAAATTTCAGCAGGGATGGAGAAGGAGCATAACTGCTTTGCACCAAGGCCGGGCATCGGCCAGCTGAGACTCTGGTCCAGAAGAATGTGGCCACCAAGAGGTCACCTTTCCAAGCCTCTCTCATTAGGTGGAGTGCTGTTGACCTGAGACAGGATAGCCTCTTTCTGCTCGTGGAATTTACCAGGAAAAAAGGTCTCTCCGGGGTTTTCTAATGGGAGTTTTGTAGCCTCTTCCTGGCTTGCTTTGCTGGCTGCCATGGTGACACACAATGTGAGAAAGAGAGATTAAATAGTGCAAATACTGCACAGGAGGTGAACTTCCTGAGTGACAGCTCTGGGGAAAGGACTCACAGGGCCTACTCGGAAAATAAAACCACAATTAAAAAAAATTATCTATATTAATAATTTCCTTCTGGTCTTGGAGATAGCGAGTTGGCGAAGGGCAGAGGATTGCAGGGGACTCTAAAGCCCTGCAGGGTTATTGTCCTTAAAGCTTCTTGCCAGGGTATCTTCTATATAGATTTGGGCAGTGGACAAGCAGCTTTTGTTTGGAACTTTGTTTTTTCCCCAATCCAACAAGTGCTATTCCCATGGCTGGCATTGAAATGTTTTTTTGTTTGTTTGTTTTAATTTTGCATGTAAAATAAAAATCCTAGAAACATTAGCATGAGCATCACTTTGGAGGCATCGTGTGGAAGGGATGGTTCTGCTGAGCCTTGTCCATATTGGGAAGGCACAGAGGGACAAGCAGGAGGGCTTTCAAGCCCTGCTCTGTAGAGAGGTTCTGAGTGCCTGGGAATTTGGGAACAAGAGGAAGGAAAGAGGCAGAGACTTTGCTTCATTTCGCTTGTATTTAAACATTTGCTGAGCATATGCAGTTTCTGCTCCTTAGATGTGCTGCCTGAAATGATTTCCTCCCATCAGCTCTTTTTCATTCTCATTGCAACCTGGTCAGAGCAGGTCCATGTGCTCTTAACCTTCCGCGGCTTCACCCGGCATCTGCCTGTTTCTTTGGAGAGACTTTGGACAGGCTCCGTGGGCGTTGGACGCCGCCAACCTCTTCACCGCCTGTCTGGACGCTGTGATTCCTGATACTGGAGTGAGGGAGCGGTGAAACTCGCGGGCAGGATCGGAGGAAATCCGCGGGCCGTGACACCCGGGCAGCGCTTTGCTGCGGGAGCAGGAGGGTTGAGCTTCCAGGTCACCAGTCCTGGGAAAAGCCTCAGGAGGGGCTGCTGGCAGTAACATTTCCCCATGGCAGATTTGTGCCCCGGGGAGATGCGGGGCGGTTGGAACCCAGAGCTGAGCTCATGGCTGGGGGGCACTTCCACCCGTGCTCACAGGAAGAGCCCTGCAGCTGGGACAGCTTCCGTGGAGCATTCCCTTCTGGCAAGTTCCCGTTTTAGGAAGTTCTGCTCGCCGGGAGATTAGATAACTGCAGGACATTCCCTCCCCTGCGCCTCCCTCCGTGGCATGTGTGACGCTAAATGTTACAGGCAGAGTCTCCAAGCTTTGAAGGTGCCTGTCTTTGAGCAGGAGACTTCTGAAGTCCAGGAGGCCCCCAATCCTCTTGGTCCTCCAGCTTTGCCCCTCTCTTTTATTCCTGTGTCATGGTGGAAGTGGCTGTGAGGATGCTCGTCTCTCAGGCACCCTGTGTGTTGCTTTGCAACAGTCTCCATTGGTCTGGAGCTAAAAAGAGTTAACGTTTTGTCTTCAAGGTGGAGATTGCACAAACCCTTTGAATCCCATCTCCTCCTGGGCAACGTGTGTGGCTGAGAGTCATAGAATCATAGAATGCTCAAGGTTGGAAGGGACCTCTAGTCCAACCCCCTGCACATGCAGGGTCACCTAGAGCACGTGGCACAGGACTGCGTCCAAGCGGGTTTGGAAGATCTCCAGAGAAGGAGACTCCACAACCTCTCTGGGCAGCCTGTTCCAGTGCTCCGTCATCCTCACTGTTAAGAATTTTTTCCTTAAGTTCCTGTGGAACTTTTGAGTTCTGCAATATCAGCAATGGCGGTGCCCATCTCTCCTTCCTTGGTGACCTCTTTTGGGCACCAAGTGTTGAGGGGAGAATTGAAGCATGTCCAGATCACGTGACTCCTTTCTTCTCCACATGGAGAGTTTTCCTTAATCCAGCTGCCTGGGTATTTCTAGTCTTCTATGGGAAAGCTGTAGCTGCTCCTGAGCTCCGAGCGGCAGGCACGCCAAGCAGGCAGATTTCCTGAGGGAGAGGTGGTTGGTATCGCTTGTCCGTGGCTGAATCCGAATGTCCTCTCTTCTCCTCGCAGGCATAACGTGGGGCAAGGTGGTGTCCCTGTACGCCGTGGCGGCCGGGCTGGCCGTGGACTGCGTGCGACACGCGCAGCCCGCCATGGTCCACACCATCGTGGACTGCCTGGGAGAGTTTGTCCGCAAGACCCTGGTGACGTGGCTGAAGAGGAGAGGAGGCTGGGTAAGAGACACTGCTTCCTTCTGTCCACCCGTGAACAAGTATCCTGGAAACACGGGAAAGAGCCAAGCTCACGGAACTGAGAGGGCCTACACTGCAGCTTGGAGTGTGGCAAAAGCACTAGCAGGCTTTAAGCATCAGACTGTCTGCAGGTTCTCTCTGCGGCCCGTGAGAAATGTCCTGCAGAGGCCAGGGCAGAGGAGGAGCTTTCTTAGGTGCTGTGGAACAGCCTGGCACCTTTCTAGTGACCTGCCCATGAGCCTGAGGTGGCTGCTTGGCTGTGTTAAGTGTCAGAAGTTGGGTGGCAGGGACAGAGATGCTCCTTGGAAAGGCGAAGCCTGAAGCCCTCTGGAAGAGATACTGCCTGGCAGATGCTGCCTGGAGTTAAATGTTCCTATGGGACACCACAGAGCTCTTGGGACATCTTGTTCCCTTTCCAAACTCAGCCACAAGAACAAAGTTCCTCCTTTGCAAGAAGTGACATTTATTCCTGAGCCGTAGGGACACGGGGAAGGCCCCCGCCTCTTTCAGACCCAGAGAGTGGTTGCTTCCAAACTGAGTCTAGGTCCCCCACTGTTGTAGTTTTAGTGACCTGAGTTCCCCAGCAGTGAAGTCACCTGGGTGAGGGAAAGTAATAACATTTTGATTTAGCATGCTGTGTTTTTACTGCCTGTCATTGCTGCCTTAAGTGCTCCATGCCCTCTCTACAACTTCATGTGACTTTGAGGCCAAGTGGGTCAGGGAACGGCTTGGTCAGGCTGCAAAGTAGCCTTAGATTTGAGTGCTTTGGTCTGATTCATTTGATGGCTGCACAAACAGTTGTGCCAAGATAGAGAAGAGGATATCCTGCAAAAGGAGCTGATTAGGTGGCACTGCTCCTGGACGTGAAATCCCTGCTTTGGTATCATTGGAGGCTGACTTTGAACTAGGTATCCGTAGAGTTGGTTGAAATGTTTTTCCTGGAATGATTTTTTTTCCTTGGGAGGAACAGAAAAAAAAAAAAAAAGATATTGCATAGGAATGTGCCTCCTCCTAGTCTCCAGCTAAGTTTCTCTTTGGATAGTGTGCCTGCTTTGATAAGCTAACATCTTGTTTTGATTTTTATGTTACAGTCCTGGGCTTCAAAACAACATGTTTTGATGGTTCCAGATGTTTTTTGGAGTGTTTTTTTGTTTTGTTTTTTTTGGGGCATTGTTGTTGTATAGCACATTTCCAATGTTTTCATGAAAGACCTGGCCCTTTGCAGCTGAGGTGCATCTACCCACGGGCTGGTGGCAGTCACAGCTTTGAGTTTTGAGTATCCTCGCCAGCAACTTCGGGCTGCGGAAAAGAGACGCCTTCCCTCTGGAAACTGCATTCCAGGTTTCTTCTGCCTGTGTCCCGGCCTATGTTTCCCTGCGAGTTCTCCCTCTTCATCTAGGCGCTGCGGCATGAGATTTCCTGGTGCTCTTCACGACGGTGCCAGAACGCAGCGGCTCTGCCCAGGAGACCCTCTCACCTGCAGCCTGTTTGTTGGTTTGGCTTGGCATCGAGTCCGTGTTGCTGCGGTGTGCCTGGTCCTGTCTCCCACATCAGCACAGGCTGAGGCTACCGGGAGGAACCAGCGTGCGCTGAGCTGCTCCAGGAAGGCAACAGGGAGGTCTCAGAAGGGCGTTTGAGAGTCTCCAGTTGGCAGTAGGTTCCCACATGCCTCCTCTGGATGGCAGAGGAAGCGCCCATGCCCCTCCAAAAACCCTAATCTCTTGGGGAAACAAGAAACATTTAACCCGTTGAGGTATCATCTGTGCCTGGGAAGAGTTTGCAGCCTCAGTGGTGCCTTAGAGCAGCATGGAGGGGTTTTTAGCAGCCCCGACGTACATCAGCTCCAAGGCAGAGCACAAGGGTTGAGCTCGTTTGATAAATAATTAACAGGCAAGGATCAAACTGCCGTCGCAACAGCTTATCGCTGCCTCATGGGACTGAAAAACTTATCTAACAAAGCAGCTTGGAGATTTTTCTACTCCAGCACCTTATCAGGTGTGTTTTATCTGGATAAGAAGAGTTAAGACAATTACTCAGCAGCCGAGCAATTTTATTTACTTAAGCGTGCACCGAATGAGTTTGTAACGTTTGGATTTGCAGGACTCTTTTTAACTGAAAAGGAAAGTCTGTGTGCAAATCCAGATGATTCTGTGATTTGCAATTGGCCGTTTAGTGGTTCGAGCAGGAAAACAATACGCTGTGTTCGGGGTAGTCCTGGCAGAACTGACCCCTGCTCATGCGGCCTGAAGGTGACATGTTCAGGCCACCAGTAACTTAATTGAACTGATTGCCGTGGCTCTCCTTGATGTGCCGATTCCATGTCCTCCTGGCATCCCATTCCCTCTTCGTCCTTCTGCTCCTCCTGCAACCTCCACTGGTGGCTTCTTCATGGGCTCAGGGTCTCCTTGTGCTCCTCGGAGAAGAGCAGAGCAGATTGATGCCCTTGGGAGGGAGGAACTGCTGGGAAGGTGACTGAGGCTGCCGTCAGGCAACCTTTGGCCTGTAGATGGTGGTGGAGTTGGTTTGTGTTGCTGTATTGACTAACCACACACTAGGGATTACATTTGTCCCTTCAAACCTCCTTTGTGTTTTCTTGCACTTGTTACCCTGTGAGTGAGTCACGTTCAGCTCACTGGTGTTCTGGACACATGCAGAGCTAGTGGAAGGGATTACTGGGATACTCCTCAGTTCTTAAGTAAGTCACGTTTTGCTGTCCGAGCTGAGGGCTTGACTTTGTTCTGTGTAAGGCTCGTGTCAGAAAGCAAGTTTGGAGCCCTGCTGAGCCACATCTTGGGGGCTGCTCAGTATTTTGCCCTGCTTGTGCCAGAAAAACAAATTCTCCTTCACATGTGCTGCCCAGGGCTACTGATAAAAGCCATCTCTGACCAAAACCAAAGTTGACTTGACTACAGTCCACATCTCCTTGTCTTAGGCTGCTGTTTAACCACAAACACAGATACTTTCACCACCAAAAGACACAGTTTTCTATCATGTCCCTCCTATTCACTTCAGCCCTCCTGCTGTTTTCTACCTTCTCTTATCACCATTTGAGATCCCGTCTTGGTGAATTTGCTGCGTGGTTGTTGTGTTTTTATTCATTGCAGGCCAGCCTGAAACCAGCTGCCCAAGTGATCTTTAAGTCTGACCCACACGTCTGGGAGGCATCCCTGCCAGCATACACATTTCCACAAACAAAGCGTGCATTACTTAGGAATTAAATTGGGGTTGGCTTGCCTGAATGGGTTCCAAGTAAAACATGAAGGCCAGAGCAAGAAGTGCAAGCAATCTGAGCTGATGTTAAACAGGACAGGCTCTGGAAAGCATTTTGTCTGCACAGAAAAGGATAAATGTGCTGATACAGCCCAGGCTTCGCTGCTCTTTTGAAAAGAGCAGGAAAGAAGTTTCTTTCATGTTGCCATTCAAAACACGGAATGCTTCCAGGCTTTCCTTAGCTTCTCCTTGAGGATGCAGGATGGAGAAGGTGCCTGATTTAGTCCCTCGCAGTGCATGGCAATGTTTGGAGTGGGTGGCGGGGTGGGCCCACGGGCTCTGGGACACACGAGGGTCTGCAGCGGTGCTCGAGGCATCCATCACTGACCTTGGTTTCCTCCCCTTCAGGCAGACATCACAAAATGCGTGGTGAATACCGACCCCAGCCTCCGCTCTCACTGGCTAGTGGCCGCCGTCTGCAGCTTTGGGCACTTCCTCAAGACCATCTTCTTTGTCCTGCTGCCCGAGAGATGAGCTAGGCACTGGGCTGCAGCCCGCGCCCCGTCTCCTCCCCCGCTCCAGAAGCAGCCTCAACACCCGACTCTGAAGAGGAGGAAGAGAAGGAAAAGCTGGGACGAGCAGAAGGCTTCAGCTGTGAGCGTCTCACCAGCCACCGTCTCCCTTTTTGTGGCCACGGAAGCCTTCTCTCCTGCTCACCGTTATCCCCTCAAGATTCCTGTTTTCCTGGGTGATTCGTGTGTGCCTTGGACCGTGCCAGTGCCCGGACAGACCAGTGGCAGCCACGTGCACCACGGACTTGCAGCCCTCGGCCTTGCCTTTTGTCCCTCCTTGTTGTTACCTTTGTGCTTAAGCACTCGCTCCCCCTTTGCACCTGACTCTGGCTTGTGGGGCTCTCCCCCCAGCACGAGGCGGTTGAGGGAATGATTCAGTTGTGGCTTTTTAGTGCGATGGGAAACATCCCGTGGTCAGATGCTTCCTTCTCTGAAACCTCTTGGAAACCACTGAGTGGCTACAGAAGGGGTAGGACTAAAGGGTGGTTGGGTTTGAGGTGGTCAATGAGCAGGAGGGCGAGTGCTGATGACCTCAGGCAACAACTCGGGTTTGGGTGTTGTACAGAAGAGGGGTTTTTTCCACTGTGATTCGAGCCAAGCTCAACCTGTGAGTAGGACTGTCTGGGGGGGCGCAGCGAGGATTATGGGGAAGTGGGAGTGAACGTGGCCGTGTTTCCAAGCGGGAAGGCCGTATCCAAAGCGACTGATCCGTCTTTCTCCTTTGACATCTTTGGGAGTGCGACTTGCGGTGTTCTGTTTGGCCAACAATAAAAGAGGTGGTGGTTGGCTATCGCAAAGGGTACCGTGTCTGCTAGCATGGTTACAAACCACAAAAGGCTGGACCAGGACAGAGGGACCAAACCCTCAGTCCAGGCTAAAAATGTTTTGGGTTTTCCCTTGGTAGAACATGTTAACATGCAGTTGAAACTGCACTTTGCCTGGGACCTGCAAGGATTTATACCCATGTAGTTCCTGTGTCAGAACTGGGCTGTTTTCTCTGACAGAAATCCAGCCTTGCTGCCATCTCGGGGGGAGGTCACGGAGCCTCTTCCCAGCACAGGAGATGCCCTGCCAGTTGCTTGGTCCCCAAAACAGAGTCTTCTGTGTCAGGCTGCATATGGCATGATGAGGATTTGGGGGCTTTTTCCTGGTCTACTGGACACAAATGCAAGGCTCAGCTTTGCCAGCAGCACCACTATATGCTCAGTAAAGAATACATGGCCAGCCCGGTTTACTGGAGCTCCTTTAACAGTAAATTAGCCTTTGTGGAGGGAAGCCCATAGAAAACAACACAAAACATTCCCGCTTCTGAAGAATCTTACCACAAACTCACTCAAAACAAGAAAAAAAAACATATTTTATTTTTACCAAAGCTACATTTGACCTATGGCTATGCTACCGCAAGGTCGGAGGGGAATTTGTGCTGGCCACATTCCTGGTGCTCCCCAGGGTCTTGTGTTTTTTCTTGTTTGTTTAAGGCTTGCAGCAGTTCACCAAATAAAAGCAAATTGGCAAAGGGCTGTTTTTTCTTTTTTTTTTTTTCCTTTTGTTTGTTTATTTAAGCCCTTTCTCCTGCCCTGGCGTAGCCGAAGCAGCGTTAGGGTTTTGCTGGCACCTCTCCTCTTTGGGATTTTCTCCCTTAGCTTCCTGGTGGATTGTGGTGTGCAAACGTAGTTCGTGTTTAGCTTAACCTGGTCGACTGACCACAGATTAAGCAGCATGAGGAGGCTCCCTTATGAACCGACGTAAACACAGTAAAAGCAATACAGTTCATGGCAGCTTGTTTTATCTTAAAGAGTCGTTCTAAAATAAACAAACAGAATGACTTTTGATTTCTCCCTAGGGTGCTGGCAAATCTAAAGAGAGAAGTCCAGAGCTGAGCAGAGCCAACACCGTCCATGGCTGCAACCACCAAGCCCCTTCTCTGGTTAGATGCCCTTGGGGAATGTCACACTTCGGGCTGTGACCGCTGCTCCAGAGTGTAAACAGCCGGTACCAGCTGGACTGCAAAGGACTGTAAGGAGTTAAACGCTCCGATTAAGTCAGCTTAACAAAAAGATAAGGCCGATAAGCCAAAAAAAGCAACACTGCTAGAGAGGAATGTGTGTGGGTGGGAAGGGGGTTGCATACAGGCCACCGGAGTTTCTGAGAGGAGGCTGCTCATAGCAAAGAGCTGGTGAAGAGCTTGTGAATGGGTTTCTGTCGCTTGTGCAGCCAAAAGTTGGTGACATTCGCATAGTCTGGGGAAGGCTTAGACATCCCAGGGCTTTCTCTTGAGTCCTTTTTCAGCTTCAGGCTGCAGAGGTGGTTTGCGGTGAGCCTGCACCAGCAGTTTCCACCAGCTTGAGTTCTTCAGGAACGACTTCTCTGGCTTTCTCCTTCCTTCCTGCCTGCGCTAGTCTCTGCAAAGGAGCCAACGCTGCTCCTCGCGGGCTGCGTTGCTTGGCTTTCCCTTACACTTCGCAGCTACTTCTACCCTCCTGGCTGCGCAGGGACTTCCCAGGTGGAAGAGCTGTGCCGAGGAGAGCCGTAAGGAGCAGCTCCCGTGAGGTGACAACCATCGCCCGCTCCCTTCCTTGTTCTGTCCCGCCTTGTGCAATAACCCGGCCAAGTGCTTATGTTGCCATCAGGTTCAGTTGTAATGATTTGGATGTCTAGAAGTACCCTGAGATACCTTCCCAATGTCAAATGTCCCGTGGTTGTGTGATTTTTTTTCTTTTCGTTCCTGTGTTCTGGCCAATCCGACCTGAGGGGAGACAACAGGCTTGGCTTTGTGGCACCCTAATAATCATTTGCCTTTCCTCATGCTGATAAAGGTCCCATGGGTGTGTGTCAACCAAGGTTACTATTCTTGCGGGGTTTTTTTCCTTATTGAAAGACACATTGTTGTTCGTCTTCCAAAATGAAATCCCCACTGCCAAACAAGCCATGTCACATTGCTTACCAGCATGGTTGAAGCATGGGAGATAGCTGAGGGCATCTGGGAGGAGAGAGAAGGCATCAGAGATGACATCTAGGGTGGCATCTTAAGTGTCTTAGAGGATGAGGAAGCGCTTAAGCCAACTTGAAATGCCTGTTACAGCCAGGGCTATCAAGGACACAGACACAAGTTTATAGGAACATGAGCTTCAACACTCCCTTTGGCCACGAAAGGAGAGTTGTTTGAGTGAAAATCCCCTGTGTCTCACCATGCGCCATCAACAGATAACTCAGTTATCCATTTCTTGCAATTCCGTCTCCATTCAGCAATGGAAATATTGCTCGTTGTGTCCTAGGCCCAGCATTGCCTCCACTGCAGCCTCCCCATCACCCAACATGGGTAGTGGGATCATCTTCATCCAAGCAGGCGGAGAGGTGGCCTCAAGTGCTCGGCAGAGACCCCTCGTGTTGCTGCTCTGCCTGTGGATGGGCTCTCCTACCTGGAAAGGGAACAAAACAATCGGGAAAGCACTTGATTTATCAGATTTGCATCTGCATTATGTTCAGAAGTGCTGAACAATGGAGCCAGGGAACGACATGGAGGTTTCCTGGAAAACCAGGATACTAAATTTCCTTGTTTTCAATCTTTTTTTTTTTCTTTAGGCCTTGAAAAAAGCTCTGCCTGTTTTATCGGTATGCTCCTTTTTGTGTGCAAAGGCTGCCTTTGAGCATGAAGCAGATCCCAAGTCCCCGGGGTGACCTTTGGAGGATATTAGACCCCTAAGACTTTCTGGTGCCTTTGCCAAGAGACTTATTGGTGTGCTCGAGGTCAAGCTGTGGCTTCTCAAATTCATAAACTTTGACAGGCATAAATGTGCCATAGCTGAATACATTTTTTAGGGTAGTGTGAGAACAACCTATGCTAGTTAATTAAAGATGAGAAGACAGCAATTTAATCTGCTACTGACTGAGTCCTCTTCCACCCAAGTGGTTTGGCAGATGGGGTTTAAACACTTGCTCTGAAAAGCCCGTAACCTCTTTTAATCTAAAAATTTTGACCCATTTGGATTCCAAACTCCGAGCACAGCTAAATAGAGGGAGCCTCTCCTCAACTTTATACAGTCCTCCAGGACCTGGAAGTGCAATACTTGTTCAAGCAAAATCTGTGGGAAACGAAATGCTCCTGGGTCAACCACACAGCAGACAGGAGATGTCCAGGCCAGCTCATCTAAAAATAGCTTCAATCACTTGTAAGAAAAAAGAGGGGGAAAAAAAAATTGGAAAAGGAAATTCCACTTCCTTACAAAAATATATTTTGGTCCTTGAGCTCAGAAGAAGGCTGCACAGTGTTGGAGCTGCCGCACTCTGGCACTGCAGGAGCGCTTGAGGACACACTTTGCTTGCATCAAACGTTCGCTGCTGGCCCTATCTCATGACCTTCACTCAAACTATAATTAAGTTGGGCATTTAAGCTAGATAAGGTGTGTTGGCTACCTCCACAACACCCCAAGCCGTGCTGAAACGTGACTCGCCCTGTGTTTGACTCTAGGTCAACTGAAGGGAAACTGTTTTCCACTTTGGAGGACTCTGTGAAGCACCGTGGGGCTTTTGGAATTGTTAATCCAATGGGAGTGGAGAGGACAAGTCAGGAAGTGTCTCTGAGCGACACAGCGGCTCTCCAACATGGAGTGGTTCGTGGAGGTTTCAGGTTGGAAGGGCAGCCGTGAGTGGTCCTTCACACCCTTGTGTCAGGCTCCTCTCCTGATTTTCCTCCTTCCAGTTGCAGCCCGTACCCAGGTTTGTTGCCCCCTCCGTGCACCTGGAAGCATGCCCAGAAGCCACATAAAACAAGGCAGAAGTTGGTGTTTTATCACCATTCGTATGCATATGATTAAAAAACAAGAGCAGTTCCTAAGAACAACCCCAGGGCTTTGACCCAAGAAAATGCATCAGCGAGTTCCCCGCGTAAAAGCGCTGCCCGTGCTGGTTCTGCGGGGCCGCTGGCAGGACATTTGCGGTGCTCTTTTCCCAAAATGCCAAAGTTGCTCGACGGTGACGTGCTCCAAACCTGATTAACAGCAGCCACCACAACCTCGGATGGGCTATGAGGCAGCCTGTGCAAACACCTACGTGAGGTTGGTGCGGAC